TAATCTTACCCATCACCTCAGGTGCAAATCTTCTTAGAGCTTGTTTTACTAGCTTCTTGCCTTCTATAATAGGTAATTTATGCTCGACTAGATTTCGATCCAATCCAGACATTTTTTCATAATCCCAAGCAAAACAGTCTTTATATTCTTCCAGTAATAGAATCATATCCTTTTTCATTTATTTTTCAAGATACCTACTAATATAAGTAGGTTTTCTTTTCTCTGTATCTCCCAAGTTAATTTCTTCTAATGGATCTTGGGTCCCCACCTTTTTGTGACTAGTCATAACAGATTTTTCAAAACCTAAAGGCGAATAATCATAAATACAATCAAGTCTAACTTGATCATTATCATCTACATTTGTTGAATATATCGACTTATTTATTCCTACCTTACTATTATTACTTTCTTGACTCTTTCGTATCTCGTTTTCATATCCTTCTAATCGAGCCAAGAACTCCTCATAACCTTCATGCATTTTCATTGGCCACTTCGAGGCTGGCCCCTTCACTCTTCAGTAAAAACCCTTTTTTCACATTCATTTCTAAGAATCGTTCCTCGTGCATTTTTGAATTAAAATCCTCGATAGTCTCGAAGGTAAATGGCTGAGTGAGCGCCAAATTTTGGAGAGACCGACCAGCCTGAGACACGAATGTTACGAACTCATGTTGGTCTCCTTGAATCACTTCGAGATGTCCATCTCGATTTCACATAAATAACTTCTGATGAGCAGTAGAGGACACTGTTCCAACTCCATGGATCCATTCTCTGCCCAGTAATGCATTGAAATTTGCATGCGATTAGACTACCACAAAAACAGTAGGCATCGAATAAGTACCCACTTTCACATCTAAGGCAATCATGCCTTCTGAACTCGATGATTTCCCATTGAAATCAAAAATCAAGATATTATGCTTGATTAAATCTTTCAAATCGGCACCGAACCTCTTTAACATAGTGATTGGTAGTATGTTTACCGCCGCACCACCATCCATAAGGACTTCATTCACCCTCTGTCCTTGTATCTCAATATTCAACATCAGGAGTTTCAAGTGAAACCTCATTTCCTCTGATGGAGGATTGATAAAAGCAGCGTCTCTATGGGGAGATTCACATGACACTTGCGTCACCCACGTCACTTTTGGTCTCATTTCCTCAGAAAAGAAATCATCCTCTCGATAAACATCATTTCGTTCCTGAAATTCCTCATACTGATTAACATACTCTACGGGTAGTATTGATATCACTCCAATCTGTTGTCCAACCCTATTATCATCCTTACCGTCGACAAATTTTTTCTCAAACTCATTTAAATCAAACTCTATATCTTCCTCTGATATGTTCGTTTTGACATGTCTAGGATTAACGTCTTCAGTAATATCGACCATAACTATAAAGGCTGAATTTACCAATCGGGCATCTTCAGTAATTCCTGACTGAGACTCAACATATCCCACTTGAACTTCAAATGGACTTTTATCCACTTTCATCGACTTCTCCTCAAATTTTAACATTCTTTAGTCGATTGCATCTTGAATTGTGTTCCTGAAATGTATACAATTATTAGTCCAATGCCCATAAATATTATGAAATTTGCAATATTTTCGACCATTTCTTTGATCTAAAGAAGGCAATTTATGATCATCACTCAATTTAATCTATTTATCTTTCAATAAAATATCGAAGATTTTGTCTGCTTTTGTTATATCGAAAGTATATGTTTGATTTGTCATTTTGTCTTTTACCTCATTTTTCTATAACAATTTACAAATATAAGGAGCTCCCACTTTGAGTTCTGCTATGTTTACTTTCTCATCAATAAAATCTTCATTTTCTACCTCTGTCTTAGGATTCTCTTCATATATTTCATTTATGTATGCTACCCTATCTTTTTTATAGGTTTCTCAAATTTCTTATATATTTCCTTCTCATACTCAATTTGTTCCACTCTTCTTACTTTATCGGCGAATTGAGTCATGTCACTCAAAGGTAGATTAACCAACTTTTTCCTAATCGAAAATTCTAACCCAGCAGCAGCCATCCTAACTAATTCAAATTCGGGAATATGAGTGAAACATCTTGATTTCATTTGTCTAAATTTATTAAAATAATCATCTGTACTCTCATGATTATACCTTTTTATATTCATTAAGTCGATGAAACTTACTTGAGTTTCTCCCCTAAAAAATTGCTCATGAAAATTCATTTCCAAGTGCAGCCAATTATATATCGAGTTAGGTGGCAAAGTGGTAAATCAAGTGAAGGTATTCTTTGTTAATGAACTAGGAAAGTATTTCATTTTTAATTCTTCATTCATAATTATATCTCCACATTCGATTTGATATTGTGCCACATGCTCGATAGTGGATTCACCGATTTCTCCGACAAATTTTGTGAACTTAGGTACTTTATATCCTCGAGGTAATTTCATCTCGAGAATCGTATTTGGAAAAGGAGAAACAAAGTATGGTTGGTTAAGTGGTCTTAATTCCACTCCTTGGGGATTCATCCTTTGACCCAACAAATGATTGTACTGCATGTTATTCTAATTATACACATTTTGAAACCCACCATTTAAATTTTCGTGAGCATCATTCCTCATATGCAGATATTGATCAGTATTTCGATTTCTCCTTAATAAATAAGGGCGATAAATATTGATGTTTTGGTTATTGTCTTGATTAGCATTATTCTCAACCCTCGTTTATCGAGGTATTGCCAATGCATCCCCGATACGTGTCATTTGATATGTTAATATCTCAAAACTACTAGTAGTGTTTTGAATGAATGCGTTTAATATTGTAGTCAACTGTTGTGACAACACATTGACCATCTCAAAATTACTTTCATCTATTTGTTGTCGAAACACCCCCAATGAATTACTGGAAATTCCAGTACTAGCATTTTTTATAACATCGAAATTAGATCGATGATAATCTCTATCGAATGCATATCTTCCATTATCCAAATTTGCTCTGTTATCCTGATTTGGAATTAGAGACATTTGTTGTGTCCCTAAACTTTGTGTATTTCTTGGATTATGAGGTGTTACTAAATTTTGGAATATACTCCAAAATTTTGAGGCATTCCTAAGTTTTGAAATTTTCCTAGGTTTTTGGGCATTCCTAGGTTAGGTCTCATATTTCGTTGTACTGAAGTACCAGCCTCATTCATATTATTAAAAGTAAATTCAGGCGGTCTTACACTTATATATGGACCTGCAAATGTTGTTACGGGGCTTCTCGTAGTTTGCATATTATTTTTCATTATAATCTCAGACCCTATTAATTGAGTATTTTCTAACATCCCTTGGCTTTGTTCATGATTCACTAGAATCAATGCATTCACATTTGACGATATTATAGGCATAGTTCCATTATGAACTTGCCCCCCAGTTTTTGGTGGATTTAGACTATTAGGAACCTCACTGTTACTCTGATTATTTGAGGGATTTTGATTCATTCTTACTATTCGTCCACTCCTTAATCTCATACACGAACTAGCCAAATTTTGTGTGTTTAACACATCGTCCCTACCTGGCGCACCAATTTGTTTCTAGTGAAATTTTTTATTTTGTTCTGATTTCCCAAAGACTAAGTTCTAACCAAATTTCAACTGCCGTAAGTTCTTTTTATTTAGACTAGCAAACAAAGTTTTTCAATCAAAACGTATGAAACGATAAATTTAAGTGCGAAACACGGAAAACGTATTTAAAAGCATACAGGTATCAACACTACTCAAATAAACAGTTATATCCAATCGAAAGAAAGGTTGTTCAACAACAATGGATAAATAAATTATATTCATTAACTTAAAAACGGAAGTTCTTTTTTGGTATTTTTTATTAAGAGACTTCATAACATGAAAATCGGCAGAAATAAAATTAAGTGTAAACGATATAACATGAAAGGCTATGTAAAATAAGAGACATGCAAATCCATGTAAAGCAACTAAATAAAGATAAATGAAGGAACGAAGAACACGAACTTAAACTGCATGTAAATAAATTACCAGGGAAAGTAAAGAAAGCGGTAAAAGATATCGAGGCGAAAAGTAATGCATAATTTTAAATTGCACAAGAGTAAATTATCAAGAAATTGAAATAACTGAAAAGTACACAAAGGTAAATTTAAATTACATGTAAATAAATTATCAGGGAAAGTAAAGAAAGCGGTAATAAAAGTCGATACAAGTGGAAATACAGATTGCCAGAAATTCCATGATCGTCGTTTTCCAGTAGACTTGTATAATAGATTTCTGATACCTCTGAAAATCCCCTACCTTCTTCACGTTTGTTCTATTTATAACCTTCTTCAACATAACCACCTAAGAACGGTTTAGAAACCGCTACCCCATGTTCCCATGCGCGAGATAACTGCTACCCTCGATTTCGACCCCAGACATCAAGTACTTTGAACTGTTTCTAACCACCTAAGAACAGTTTAGAAACCGTTACCCCATGTTCCCATGTGCAAGATAACTATTTCCCTCTATTTCAACTCCAGACATCGAATACTTGAACTGTCTCTGACTTCCCTCAAACTTAACTTAACACTCGATACTTATTATCGATTTTTTACTCCCAATCATGTTCATCGATTTTCCTCTATCCTCTTTCGATTCATATATTGATTTATCTACTTTCCAATCTATATCTCGATTTATCCGTTTTTCGATTCATATCTCGATTTTCCCCAACACATGGTCATCGAATTTCTTCTACCTACTTTTTGATTCATATATCGATTTTCCCCAACATATGGTCATCGAATTTCTTCCACCTACTTTTCGATTTATATATTGATTTTTTCCATCAACAATATGATAATAAAAAAACTCTTAAATCACATCATCATAGTTATGCTACACAAACCTACAGTAACAAGATGAACCGAAAAAAACGCTCGAATCAACTTGAGAAATGCCTATAGTAAAGCCTCTGGTCTGGTCCTAAGCAACAATTATACCTTTAGATGTGAGTTTCAACAATTACATTGTGACTATTCCTTTGCTAGCCTTGCCTCAAACCCCCCTCCAGGCCTCTTTACAAGATTGAAAGGCATGTATGTCCCAAGAAGTTTGTCCCATATGGAAAAGAATGGCTGAGAATAATTGTACTTCAGCCCTTGCAGTTGATGATGGATGTCATGGTAAGCTGTGTTGTTCTGGAAAAACAAATGGAAGATGTTGCCAGGCAACCTTAGTCCACAGTGATCATCAACAGCTTTCACCATAGTGAAGCAGAAGAACATAACTGCTGTTCTTGCAGTCATCCCTGAGATAAGAAATGAGATGGCACCACCTATAGTGTCAAGTAGAAGACCCTCAATGGGGTGATTGTAAAGGGTTCCTATTGCATACGGAACAACCAGTGTGTGATGCCAAGAGTGGACATGGCGATATAAAAACTTGTTCTGATGCATGTACCGATGGACAAAGTACTGCCATGTGTCCATGACAAACATCGCAATAAGGAACTGCAAGATTTGCTTGGCGATAGAAGGTTGCTCTACAACCCCAGATGCTTTTGTCGTTGTGGTCAACTGCAAAGTTGCAGCAAGCATATCATTATCATTATCAGTCACTATCAGAAACAGCTAAGAATGTCAACAGAAAATTATTGGATTTCTAACAGTGTAAGCAATTTCTCTCCCTCGGGCATTTATTATGATAGGTCCGCTATAAGAGGCATATAGAAACTTCAAAGAGTTTGTTTAACTATTTAGCACATATAAGACATCATTTAAGAAGCAATAGCCAAGCTCTAGCAATATAATGGCTTCTATTCTATACTTTAATTCCTTAACTTGAACCTCTTCGAGTATATAGAGGCCAGGCTAATAACACGGTAGCTTCATCAGATTGCAAACAGGAAAGCCTAGAGAAATAAAGAAATAACCAGATGAAAATGATATACGATCTGCTCAACTGACTAAACAAGATCCACTACAACAACAACCTCTATCCTACTAGGCGGTGAAACTTGAATAAAGATTCACAAAAAAGATAAATACTTTAATATGTTTGAACAGAACACAAATTAGTCAGAATTATGGCTAGAGCAAATCTCAGGGTCTATTAAAATTTATTATACAGATTAAACATATTAACTTGCATGAAATAGCTCTTAAATAATGATTCTTCTACTGTTAATATGACAAGGTGAAAGGGAAGTCATAGGGCAACAGATTGTGTGAATTTGTTAGTGTCATTTCAGATAATAAAGAAGACACTTCTTTTCCCATAAAACTCAAGCATAACGCTGATAATTTAAGATGGCTTTGTAACACAAGAAAAGACAGGATACAAAATGAATGTGTATGAGAAGAGATATATTTGGCGCCAATTGAAGAAAGGATAACAGAAAATGGATTAAGATGGTTTCGACATATATTTAAATGCCATGAGAGGCACGGTGAAAATAATAGATTGTAGCTTTCAGTCCTATGAAGAGGATGGCAGGGAGATCAAGAAGAAACTAAAGAAAGTTGTCTAGAGGGATAAGGCTTTGGGGGTGGTGTTCTTATACTGTCTCCAAATGTTGATTTCACTTTCTTACTTTTAAATATTTCTCTTCTTTCGTTAGGGCTAGAAAAGTGGATTATAAATTCAGGCTATTCACATATCAAGCAATTGGTTAGATCACTCCATGAATATGCCACACCATGCAATTTGGTAGATCACATATAGAGACACATTGTGCCACCGTGCCCAAACTGAAAATATGTTTTACATATTTGAAACTGTACAAATTCATGCAAAACAAAAATTATCACTCTTAATGTTAAAGAAACAACTACCTCATTTAAGTCAATGATCCCTCTCTCTCTTTCTCTCTCTGTGTATTTCCGTCTGTTCCTCCTTTTCGCTTTTCATTCAGTATCCTTGAACATATACGTTTTCAAAATCACTCTGCACACTGCACTAATAGAAGAGTCACCTGGGCTCTTCTTCTGGCTGGGTTTTCCTAATATTACTCTTGATTTGGACTAATTTTGGGTTTTAAAGTTGTTTAATCAAATAATTGGGCCAAAGGTATTTATGTAACGGCTTTTATATTTAATGCAAAAAAATCTAACTCTCACATCACTCATGTCTTATTAGGGATGACAATTAAAATAGTATTTGTGGGGACTAACCCGTACTTGTCCCGAATTTGACGGGGAAAACCGGAGTTGACCGGGGGGACGGATTCGGGTTTTCTTCGCTTTAAAAAGTCGGGGACAAGGACGGGGATGGTCCTCACCCCGACTCCGTCCCGCCTCGCCTCGACTTTATATTTAAATTTAAAATTTAAAATATTAATACTTTTAAATGTATTTTCTTTTCTTTTTCTATTACATATAAGGTTATTTTTTTAATATTTCACTAATTTTTATTTTTCTTCTACCCACTTTTAATATTTTTTGTCTTTTTTAATCTTTTATATCAATTAATTTATTACATTATTCTCTCTTACCTTTCTATTTTTTATATTTCCTTAATTTCTCCTAATAATTTATTTATTTTTTTAATCTTTTCAATCAATTTGATGAACACAAAGTAAATATTTTTTTCTTCTTTATCTTTTTCTAAATATTTTACATAAATCCTAGTAGTAACTAATATTATTTTATTTATAATTTATATGAATTAGGTTTTATTATGTCATATTTTTTTATCTTATTATTCTTATTTATCATATATCAAATTTTATTTTAATAAAATATTTATATTTTAAAGGATTAAAAAAATTGATAATTTAAACTTTTATTACTTCGAAATAATTAAATAAGAATTAACTTATTAAATATTTTCTTATAAATTATATATTTCATATTTTTAAATGTCAACTTAAAAATGAATTAACTTATATATAATTAAATGTTTGATATAGTATCATAAGTATTCAAATATTTGAATAGTATAATAATAATAATAATATAAATATTCTCTCTATATATATAAATAAAAATAATTAAATATTTTTTATAAACATATTTTAATATAAATATAATAAATTAAAATGTATATTTAATTAATAATAATTATAAAATTATAAATATTTATTTATATAAAAAAATATATAATAAATTTAATTTATTATAAATGTAATTATCTTTTTTAAAAATAATATACATCGAGACGGGGTGAGAGTGGGGACGGGAAATCTGAAACCCTGAAGACCCCGACGATAATCGAATACGGGAATGGTTAAAAAAAGTAATGGAGAGTAAACGGGGAGGAAAAATCTGCCCCACCCCTGTCCGTTGCCGTGCCTATCCCGTATCATTTTGTAAAAAAATAAAACAAAGTGGCCCTTGTCTTTTTAAGATGGAAAGGGAGATACGAAAAACATAAAGAGTCATTTTCCCTTAAGATAAACAAGGATGAAAGCTACAGAAAAAGAACAATTAGGTTAGATCACTCCATGAATATGCCACACCATGCAATTTGGTAGATCACATATAGAGACACATTGGATAATCAACCGAATCAGAAACTAGAAAATGGAAAAACAGACTAATTTTAAAAATGCTACTACCAACAAATTTGAAGAATAGCATCAGCAAGCAACTGCTCATACTTGAATAGTTTTTTCAACTAAAAAACTATGTTTACTACAAATTTTACCGTAGAAATTAACTAAAATGTAGAAGAACTGACCAAGAAGAGAGTAACAATTGCCTGAACAAGCTGCTGAAGCAAAACACCCTTCACAACTGTTGAAAAGGGAACCAAATTCTTCCTTTCCTCGTCTTTCCTAGTATGCAACCGATACTTGTCTAAAGGGGGGAGCAAGTGATAAAATCCAGCATATACCCAATAAACCACGATAGGGGCAAATGTGCCCATCAATTCATCGCTCACATATCCTTCCCAGAAAACCATTGCACAGGTTCAAATGTGGAAACGAGACAATTTCAAGCAAAAACAATCCAACCCAGAAACAAACTCAGCAAGTCAAAGCTGCATTACAGCTCAAGATCTTAACTAGGACAAGTTCCTCCACTCTTTGAAAAGAAAAATCAGAACTGTTTACTTGATGGGCAGACACAAGAAGAAACAAAAAATAACCAATGGCGATAAGAGCCACAGAACCAATGGCGATAAGAGCCACAGAGTTTGCATGTTTCGAACGAGACAAACACCGACAGTTGTGAGATTCCGAAGACCTTAAAAAGTTTGAATTTTATTGTTTTTTGCGGTGTATCCTATCCCTCAGACAAAAGAAACGTTTTTATCATTTTCTTTTTCTCCTCTCTGTGACCTAATTTTGATGTTTGAGAATATGAGAGAAATAGTGAGATACACGTGTTGGAAACTCATGATCTTGATCAAACCATCACCATCGTTTAGAATGAGTTTTTTTTTTTTTTTTCCTTTAATTCGACAAAATAACATGTTTTCTTATATATTTTCTAGGCCTAGTTTATTTTGTAAGACATTCATTTCTCAAAATAATAATAGTTTTAAGTAAACTTTTCATTTATTATGTTAATGTAATGTTGATGTCATTTGTAATTAAATATGACAAATATTTTATTTATAAAAAATATAATCTAAATACATTAATTATAAATATTAATTAGTTTTGACTAAAATTTCACAACTTTAAACATATATTTTCCATAAATGAAAAGTAAAATTCTCATTAATGATTTATTTTGTATTATTTTATAGATAAGCATGGTTTAAAATATGTTAGTTAATATTTTGAATATATAAGCTACAGTGGTGTGAGAAGTTAACGTGACTATGTTACCACCTTAAGGTACAATGTTTGTGGGAAAAACTATAATTTTACCACAAAATTAAATAAGAAAAAAAATATTTTCATTCTAGCTTGAATGATTAGAATAATATATTTTAAAAAATTATTCAAAAAAATTTTATAATTTTTTTTTTCAATTTTAGAATTTTGACATTATATTGTTATATTAATAGGAGGTTAATATTCTTTTATGGTAAGACTTTCTTTTCTTTTCTTTCTCTTTTAAGGTAAGGGTGTGTTATTAGTTAATAAAAAAAATATTAATTATAATAAATACTTTTTATCCAAATATTTCAATTAATTATTTACAAATATTTATGATTATATTATATGTAGTAAGTATATTAAAATTAACAGAATTTAGATGAAGAGACGAAATTGAAACAGACTTAAAATATAAAAAACCAAATTAATAATTTATTGATAATAAGAATAAACTAAACAAAATAAATGTATAATAATAACTAAAAATACTTGAATATAAAAACTTCTAAATTATAAAAATGATAACTACAATGTAGTTACTTTTCCACAAATTTAGCAACCTAGTCATAAAAGTGTGACATTATAATATAAACGAGTTAGCACAAGTTAAAGGTTGTCAATGTCATTTCAAAAAGTCTCCAAGTTACCTTTGAACTTTTTAAAGTATGGATGAACTTTCAAAAAGGCTTCTTACGAACTTCAAAAATAGTTGTCCTACAATGAAATTCATATTCATGATATGACTCAAGGTTCTAAATTTGTAATCTTTAGCATCAAATTCAGTACTAGGATCTTTGTCACTATGTCTTTTATTGTCATTGACAGGTTTATTTTTTATCTGATATTTGACTCGTGTGTGATGTTAGACAAATGACATCTAGAAGGGTGAATAGATGCACAAATTAAAATAGATGTCAAATTAAAAATTTATTTGTAAGTCAATAATTTATTTGAACACAGATAAAGCGGAGACAATAATATAATCAGGAAAAGAGAAGAGCACACAGAGATTTATACTGGTTCGGGTATAGTCAACCTTACATCCAGTTCTCAGTCAACTCTTAACACAAGATTGACTCCCAATTACTATCTTTCAAATTCAGTTTATAAATTACAATCAACTCAGCAGAAGAACCAGTAAAAAGTAAACTAATTAAAAAGACAATCACCTCCTTAAAAACCCACTAAGGATGAACACCTCCCTAGAATCCCACTAGGGATGAACACCTCCTCTTAACAAATCAAAGGATGAAAAACACCTCCTTAGAATCTCACTAAGGATGAACACCTCCCTAGAATCACACTAGAAAACATCCTTTGAACAAACCAAAGGATGAAAACACCTCCTTAGAATCTCACTAAGGATGAACACCTCCCTAGAATCACACAAGGAATGAAAAATACCTCATTTGTCACCAATACACAAAGGATGAAGGTAATAATAAAAATAAGAACCGTCACACCTGGATAATGGAGACAACCAATTGTAGAAGCCTGTAGAATGTTAATCTCCAAAAACAAGTGTGATTAACAATGAAAGCACAGAAGGCAGTAGGGAAGAGGGTTTTCTCAGAAGGTGTAAAATATTTATGTTGCCTTGCTCAGAATTCTATTCTCAAGATTGATTGAATGTAAATTGTATTTTCGAATTTTATTTTTCATCAAAAATTAATTAAATAGAAAAATAGCATCAGAAAATGGCCATTGGACATTAATATTTTCATGAATAAAAATTAGGATATATTTAAAAACATTTATTCTTCAAAACAGATATATTTTTCAAATTTGAATTGCCATAATTGATTATGTTACCAGTATAATCAATTATGACACAGAAAATCATTTTTCCATTTCTGATGCATCATAATTGATTATGATAGTGAAAAATATCACGTTATGAATTTTATCACACTTGTGCTTTGGAGGCTTATGCATAATATTACTTCATCAACTTGTACCTCCATATCCAATATTCTAAGACTCTATCTAGTCTTCAGGAATCATCTTGTGTTTGCTTGAATCATCATCTTTATCAAAAACATATCTTGGGCATGTAGGGAAATGTTTCACATTGTCACCAACGTCATAAATTCAGCTTGTTCTTAATTCATCTTGAATGGTGTTGACTTGAATGTAGTTGACTTGAATCATCATCAAAATCATCTCTTGGGAATGTAGGGACATTTCCATAAATCTCCCCCTCATTGCTTTCAATCTCCCCCTTTTTTATGATGATCAAGGAAACACCTGAAATGAATTAAAATACTTGACTCTATATAGTCAACTCAAGATTAGCACAGATTTGTATCAAGAGTCAGAGTCTCTTAATCTCCCCCTAGATATATTAATAACAAGACTCCCCCTAACTCATATGAGCAAAGACTTCTCTTAACTCCCCTGGTTTAATTTAGAGATAGGAAAGAATTTCACACAGATTTTAATTCATCAAAAAATCTTCCCTTGTTTCATTGATAATCATAAAAATATTATAAGAGGAAAAAAAATCTCCCCCTATCTCACACAGATTAATATCATCAAAATATCTCTATGTTTTATTGATAATTATGAAAAATATTACAATAGAAACTGAGAACAAATTTGCACATTACAAAGTGTCATAGAGAAGAATATCATATTAAGGAGGCAATATCTAGAATACCCAAGACAAATGAAGAGAGAGAAAGATAGGGGAATAAAATGATTGTAGAAATAATGGAATGAAATGCAGTAGTTTTCCCCAATTGCAGTCTTCTTATTTAGGCAGCTTTCAAATTCAAATGCACTCATTCCAGATTTGCACATCAAAATATCTCTCTGTTTCATTGATATTATAATGCATTACAAAGTGTCATAGAGAAGAATATCATATTAAGGAGGCAATATCTAAAATACCCAAGACAAATGAAGAGAGAAAGATAGGGGAATAAAATGATTATAGAGATAATGGAATGAAATTCAGTAGTTTCCCCCAATTACAGTCTTCTTATTTAGGCAGCTTTCAAATTCAAATGCACTCATATTCCAGATTTCAAATTTCAAATTCAAATTGAAACAAATTTCAAATTCAAATTCCAACAAATTCCAAATTTCAAATTCAAATTTCTAATCCCAAATTTCAAATTCAAATTTAAAATTCCAATTCAAATTCAATTTCAAAAATCTCAAACTGCAAAAATTTCAAATTTCAAAATCTCAAACTACAAAATTTCAAATTTCAAAAATCTCATACTGCAAATTTAAAAAAAAAAAAACTCAAACTGCAAAATTTCAAATTCAAAAATCTCAAATTGCAAAATTTTAAATTTCAAAAATCTCATACTGCAAATTTTTAAAAAAAATCTCAAACTGCAAAATTTTAAATTTCAAAAATCTCAAATTGCAAAATTTCAAATTTCAAGAATCTCAAACTGCAAAATTTTAAACTTTAATAATTTCAAATTTTCATAAATTCAAACTTTCAACATAATTGATTATGACAACAAGAAAAAAAATTCAATTCTGATAATCAATTAGATACTCAAACTATCATCTAGACATGTATAAATATTTTGTTCCTTGTCATTAGATATGCCAAAATGTTTTATATAACATCTATTTGATGTATGACCTAACCTAATATCATGCAATAAAAACATGTTGGTTTTCTTTGAAAAGGTCTAAATGAGTTTCTTAAAGTTTTTGAAACTGGTTTCACATCTGTTTTCCTTGACTCTTTCACAAAAATAGTTTTATGAGGTTCTAGACTTTCTTTGGGTTTGTAACCAAGTCCAGCTTTGCTAGAATTCCCTCTTTGATAACCTAATATAAAATCAAGATTTTCAGAAGATTTTGAAAACTTGCTTATTATTTTTTCTAACTTGAAAATCTCATTTTCCAAATTATTGCAATTTTCACAAGGTTTAACAACTTCTTTATTTTTAGACAAAGTTTTAAATTTCTCAACATCTTTCTTTAAGCACTCATTTTCTTTTTCAAGAATACCAACAGTATTTTCTAATGCATTGAACTTTTGTCTAAGTGTATTCTATTTCTTAGATAACTTGGTAAAACCTTCATACATATCTTGATATTCTTTAAATAACTCATCATATTCATTTAAGAAATTTGTACTACTTACCTGTGATGAGGCTTCATCATCACTTTTTGTCATCAAGCAAAGATTTGCTTCTTCTTCTCCATCACTGTTTTTCGAAGAACTCTCTTGTGTTGTGGAAAAATCATTATCCTCCCAAGCAATATAAGCTTTGTCTTTGCTCTTATAGGTATCATTCTTCTCTTTCTTCTTCTCTTTCACATCTTTCTTCTCTTTCTTAAGTTTCGGACAGTCTGGTTTGATATGACTAGGTTTTCCACATTCATAGCAATGGAATTTATTTGTTTTCTCCTTTCTTTGTTGTCTCTTTTTTCTGTTCTTCATGAAACAATAAAATTGTTTAACAAAAAGAGACATATCGGAGTCCAAAAACTTACCTTCATTTTCGCTTTCGTCTTGTGAAGATTTTTCTGCTTTTAGAGTTATCGTCTTGGTTTGATTTTGTTCACCGTCCTTTAACCTTTGTAGTTCCATCTCATGTTCTCGTAGCTTTCCAAATAGAGTAGTAATATTCATTTTTGTGAGATCCTTTGGTTCTGTAATAGCAGTGACCTTTGTTTGTCAATTTCTGTCTAAGGATTTTAAGATCTTTGTGTTCAACTCCTCATTGTCAAAAAAAATTTATAATGCTTTCAAGTGATTTATTATATGTGTGAAGTGTGTCTAGAAATCCGTGATGCTTTTATTTTGCTGCATTTGAAATAATTCATACTTCTGGATGAGTGTGTTCTTACGTACTCGTTTTACTTTATTTGTTCCTTCATGTGTTACTTCAAGAGTGTCCCATATTTCTTTTGTCATCTTGCATTGTGAGACACTAAAAAATTCATTACGAGTTAAGGAAGAAACAATAGCATTTCGGGTTCTTACATCATAATGGGCACGCTTATTTTCATCAAAAGTCTTTGGAACTGTTCCAGATTTCGTTGTTTTCATCGGAATGTAAGGACTGTTGAGTACAGCATACCAAACACCATAATCTAGTGTTTGTAAAAATATTTTCATTCTCGCCTTCCAAAACTGATAGTCTTCTCCTTCAAATAATGGTGGTCTGTTTATTGAGGCTTCTTCCCTATAAACCTGATTCTGCATAGACATCTTGACATATCGTTTAGAAATATCTTATCTAACCAAGCTCTCACGCGACTTGTTAGACAAATGACATCTAGAAGGGGGTGAATAAATGCACAAATTAAAATAGATGTCAAATTAAAAATTTATTTGAGTCAATAATTTGTTTGAACACAGATAAAGCACAAGCGATAATATAATCAGGAAAAGAGAAAGAGATAAGGGAAAGAGAAGAGTACACAGAAATTTATACCGGTTCAGGTATAGTCAACCCTACATCCAGTTCCCAGTCAACTCTTAACACAAGAGTGACTCTCAATTCACTATCTTTCAAATTCAGTTTACAAATTACAATCAACTTAGCATAAGAACCAATAAAAAGTAAACTATTTAAAAAGACAATCACATCCTTAGAAACCCACTAAGGATGAACACCTCCCTAGAACAAATCAAAGGATAAACACCTCCTTAGAATCACATTAAGGATGAACACCTCCCTAGAATCACACTAGGGATGAAAATCACCTCATTTGTCACCAATACACAAAAAATGAAAGGTCACCTGGGTAATGGAGACAAAAAATTGTAGAAGCCTATAGAATGTTAATCTCCAAGAACAAGTATGATTAACAATGAAAGCGCAGAAGACAGTAGAGAAGAGGGTTTTCTCAGAAGGTGTAAAATATCTTTGTTGCCTTGCTCAAAATTCTTTTCTCAAAACTGATTGAATGTAAATTATATTTTCGAATTTTGTAATTGTGTGTTTTTTTATTTTTCATACAAACTTAATTAAATAGAGAAATATCATCAGAAAATGGTCGTTGGACATTAATATTTTCATTAATAAAAATCAGGATATATGTAAAAACATTTATTCTTCAAAAAATATATATTTTTCAAATTTGAATTGTCATAATTGATTATGTTACCAGTATAATCAATTATGACAGAGAAAATTTTTTTTCCATTTCTGATGCATTATAATTGATTATGACAGTGAAAAATATCACGTTATGAATTTTATCACACTTGTGCTTTGGAGGCTTATGATATTATTTCACCAACTTGTACCTCCATATCCAGTATTCTAAGACATTATCTAGTCTTTAAGAATCATCTTGGGCTTCCTTATATCATCATCTTTATCAAGAACATATCTTGGGCATGTAGGGAAATGTTTCACATTGTCACCAACGTCATAAATTCAGTTTGTCCTTAATTTATCTTGAATGGTGTTGACTTGAATCATCATCAAAATCATCTCTTGAGAATGTAGGAACATTTTCATCAATCTCCTCCTCATTGTTTTCACGCGACCATTAAGTATAAACTTTACAACCTGGCAATCAAGCAACTCAACTTAGACCTCATTTGATTTTTAAAACTTGAAAGGAATTTAGAATTTGAATAGTGAAAACCATTTTTATAATAATGAAATTTTCTTATAAAAAGAGAGAAAAAAAACATAAATTATAGTGAAATAAAAAAATCCCTAAACATAACCATAAACATAAAAATTTTAGGGAAAACAGCATGTAATATATAAAAGACAAAAAATAACAAAAATATTTTCATTTGAAAACCGTAGATCCTAAAAATTAGAGAAAAGGTGTAATCAAATATTTAAAAGAAAAATAATTTAACAATATTTTCTCCACAAGAAAACCGTAAAAAAAAAAAAAAAAAAAGTGTCCAAATGCCCAAAAGACAAAGAAAAAATAAATATTTGAGCTTGTAAATTGTGAACAGAAAAAATTAGTGTGAAGGGTCGTTTTATGCGAAACCATCGCTCAAAACAAATTATGGTCAAAATCATTCGTAAAAACCCTAAATCCCAACCCACATGACATCTGAAAATTTGTGAAAAAACAAATTTAATTTAAAATTTGTAATTTTGAACTCACATGACAGTATAAACATGCTAAGGTTCGGATTTTATGCAGAAAGACAACATCTGTATCTAAACAGAGCATTTTTTGTGAATGCAGTTGACTTTCTATATTGATGTAAATAACTACATATTACATGTAATCCTTGAAAGACCTAAAAATTAGGAAAAAATGTTTATATATCATACACGCCAAAGATTAAGAAAAAAAAAACGTAACAGGTTAGATAAAAGACAAAGAAAAAAAAATGTTTGAAAACCTTGAACCCAAAAAAATAGAGAAAAAACTTAACCAATTACATAAAAGAAAAAAAATGGACAATAATTTTTTTTCACATAAAATCCTAAACACAAAATAAATAATGAAATCATAGCCTAATATCAATTAAAAACAAAAAACAAAAAAAGATTTGAGTTTGCAAACCACAAAGAGAAAAAAATTAGTGAAAACATAATCCTAATGTGCAAAGAACAGAAATACTAAAAAATATTCAAAAAAATTTAGATGAAATTTTGTTTGGATAAATATTGCAAAGTAAATTTTCAGAAAGAGCAGTTTCATTTGATTTATAGTTGAAAGAAGAAAAGCTTTTGAGTGTGATCAAGAAAAAATGGGTTTCGTGAGTAGAGTTTGTGGAGAGAAAAGTCATCATGTAGAGGAGTGAGTGTAAATGCGTTACATGATTTTTTTTTTTTTTGTCTTTAACTGAAAATGGCTAAAAGTTATATATGACACTTAAACATGCGTCAATTCTCATGGTAACTACTTCTAACTCTCACCAAAGAACTATCAAAACAAAATGTGTAAGATTAGGATATAAACCAGCTAACAAAGTATGCAAGTTATAAGAAGGTAAATTATTAAAGAGGTATTGTTGCTTCTTACATCTAATATATTGTTATTTTTATTTCAAAAAACCAAAACATACCTCACTGTTTGGATTTGAGGTTTTATGGATGTTAACTTGACAGGTGTAGAAAATTGTGCATGTAATCGAATAATGATAAAAAGTATCATCCACTTGCATAATACTTAAAAATATTTACAAATAGTTTGTCTAAACTAAAATGATTATCCAATATCAAAGTTTGTACGAATGAAAAAACTTCTATTCGATAACAACAAAACAATAAAGGAAATAAAATTGCATTTTGTTTTTTAAAATTCAAATGTAAAAATAGATAAAAGATAGTTACAATTAAATTTCACCAAATATTAGCCTCATTTACAACTATGCAAACTATATACTGTGATTCAATATTAAAATAAGTCATAAAGCGGTACAGCCCTAATCACTTAAGTTTTATTTTTCACTCTTATGCTCAATTCTTTGATCACATAACAATGGAATTTGCTTTGTGTACAATGACTACAAGATAACTTACAAACTAGAACCTATGGCAATATATAAAGTTCATAGAGTAAACTAAAGTCCAAACTCTAAATAAAATAAACATGTCCTACGGTGAAATCCTGAAGGCTTCTTACTAACTTCAAAATACTTGTCCTACTGTGAAATCATGATATGGTTCACGATTCCATATTTTTAAGTTTTAGCATCAGATGCAGCACTAGAACCATTGCCCATTGAGTCTTTTATTGTCATTGTCAGGTTTATTTTTACCTGATGCTTGATCTGTGAGCTCTTTTGCATCACTCTCATCAAATCCAACTAGACAAAAATACGTCATAAAGAATTGAAATTAAAATAAGAATAGAAAATGATCCATTCCACCAATAAAATAACAGACAGCAGGTTTACCATCATGATCGTCTTCCACATCATCCTCACCCACACCCATGCCCAGCTTCTGTAGTAAAAGAAACAGAGTAAATGTGTATGATTTCATCAAACTAAAAATGCAACCATTAAACTGTCTTCAGTTTTGCTACTTACAGAAAAAGCAAAGTTGCCAAAGTCCATGTCAGTTCCAGCTGAAAAAAAAAAATATGCATGAGACAACTGACGGAAAATGAAGACGTTATATTCACATAATTGGGTATAATTACTAACGTTTATCTTCTTCCTGCTCCTCATCTTCGTCAACCCACTTTTCCCAATCTACTCTCAAAAATACTGGAGGTTTTCCTCCTTGCTTTAACAATCTACTCCACCATTTGCTCTCAGTTTTACTCACTATGTAGAACATATTTCTTAAACCATTAGTAGTTTTGCTATTCTGAGGGAAAACATTAGCATACACCATCAGTTAATTGTGTAAAATATTTTATTAACCAACAATTATGAAAATGGAGCTCGTACCTTCACATCAATCTTGTCAAACAGATCAAGGTTAAATTCATAAGGAATCTTTTCTGCACCACGAGTAGCAGAGAAGTAAAATTTTCCTTCTGGCTCAAGTATAAGCTTCACATCCTGGGCATCAGGTACCTCAACCGTTATGTAGATCTCATCGGACCTCTGGGCCCATTTGATAGGAGGGTGGCGGCTGTAATTTAAAATTCAAAGGAATTAGGACTTGAATACTAAAAACCATTTTTCTAGGAATAAAAAAAATCTTAAAAAGGAGAGAAGAAAGTGAAACACAAATTATAGAGAAACAATAAAATAAATATATGCAAGAAATCCCTAAACTAAAAATCTACATAGTAGAAAATAAGAAGTGTAAAGTGAAAAATGTAACAGGGTATATACTGTTGAGCCAAATTAAGGTATCTCACAAACTTAACCAACCCTAAATAAATGGAGTTCCTTTACTTTTTCACTTTACACATATCTGTTTAGACATTAGAAAAATCCAATTTCCAATCTTTATACATAACTAAAATGCTCGAAACATCCATTAACTGAACAATGAAAACAATTTAGCTAATATTATACCACCATGTCATAATGTATCGATTTTTTTTTTATCAAAAGTATTTAAAGCAATCACACAATT